TGAGGTACCTTTTCATCCTATCATATCCAGCACTAATCATTAAGGCAAACCAAGGCAATACATATAAACTGGTTATTAATAGTTAGACTCTCCCTGAGTTAGTTACTGCTCAGAGAGACCCCCGAGGCATCAAAAACAATATAAGCTATTACCATTCCTCTTGACTGCCCATCATAAGTAAGACCTTTCTGATGAAGACACCACACACAACCTTGAACTGACTGGAAACTCAACAGCTGTTCAAAGTACTGAGACCAAGAGACTGAATGCTCAGTGGTAGATAGGGGGACATCTGTAACCCACTCCCCGACCTGAACCCAGGCTCTGGGAACATTAAGGACAGAAAGAACCTAAGAGCCAGAGGATGGGGAGGAGGATGTCCAGTGCTGTCCTCTGACAGGGCGTGACTGTTACACATATGAACCCACAGCAGCTGCAAGTTACAGAACCTGCACAGGATCAACTAGTTAAAAATTCCAGCAGGGAGGGGGAAGAGCTCCTGAGGCCACACCCCTAGCTGAGGAGCTGTTGTTAGGTGATGGGTACTGGAGAGAGGCACTTTTCTTTAGGGCTGTGGCCACTGGCAGGTTACTCAAGCCCCAGGGGATGACCCCACCCCGCAGTACATACTGGAAGCACTAATTAGACTCAATGGTTAAAACAACAAATAAACAAGTAATTTAGAAGGAGGACATGGAGTTGGGAAGGGGACATGATGGGAGAATCCTGGGGGGATGTTGGAGAGAAACTTGGGGGGTGGTGAATATATTCAAGATATGTTATATAAATGTATAAAATTGTTTAAAGAATAAATATACTTTTTAAAATATTTACTATGGCTAACTTTACAAGTCACTCTGTTTTAGAATGCCCAGGCAGGACTGCATAGAACAGACATCGTCACCCAAACAAGGCTATGATTAACTGTTGGAACTTTGGGCAACTCTTTTTCAGAAGACGGAAACATCTTTGTGAAAAGGGTTTTTGTGGCTTTTGGTACCAAAGCAAAAAGCTATTAAAACTGAGATGTGTAACTAAGTGCTGCATTTGCCACTTTTCCTCATGGTATGATCAAATATCTGACAAATACAACCTAAGGGAGGAAGGGTTTATTGTGGCTTACAGTTTGAAGGTACAGTCTGTCGTGTGGGAAAGTTATGACAGCAAGAGTGTGAGGCAGCTGGTCGTATTATACCCACAGTCAGGAATCACAGAGTGCTGAATCCTGGTGTAGCTTGCTTTCTCCTTTGAATTCCATCAGGAATTTTAGCCTATGGGATAGCGCTGCTCACATTTAAGGTGGGCCTTCCCATTTCAGCCACCCCAGTCTGAAAACATCCTGTTTGGTTGATTGGCTTGGTTTGATTTTTTTTTTTTTTTTTTTTTTTTTTTTTTTTTTTGAGACAGGGTTTCTCTGTGTAATAGCCCTGGCTGTCCTAGACTCACTTTGTAGATGAAGCTGCCCTCAAACTCACAGAGATCCTCCTGCCTTTGCCTCCCAAGTGCTGGCTAACACCCCCTGTCTTAGAGTTTCTATTGCCATGATGAAACACCATGAAGAAAGAAACTTGGGGAGGAAAGGCTTTATTTGGCTTATGCGTCCATAGTGTAGTCCATCACTGAAGGAAGTCAGGACAATTAACCAAGCAGGGCAGGATCCTGGAGGTGGGAGCTGATGCAGAAATCATGGAGGAGTGCTGCTAACTGGCTTGCTCCCCATGGCCTGCCCAGCCTGCTTTTTCATAGAAACCAGGACCGTCAGCCCAAGGATGGCACCACCCACCAAAATGCTCTGCACCTGGATCTTAGGGAGACATTTTCACAGTTGAGGTTCCCTCCTTTCAGATGACTCTAGCTTGTCTCAAGTTAACATAAAACTAGACACGACACCCTCATATACACACCCAGGAGGGTGATCCTATGGTGGTTCAAAATCCAGTCAAAGTGACAATGTAAGTTAAACATGACAGATGCGGAATGAACAAGAAGCTAGATTTGGCTACTTAACTGTCTCTTAGCTCCAAGCATACCTTTCAAAACTGTTTCATGGATGAGATGCTGTCTATAATTTTCAGACTTCCTTAACACACGGATTCCAGTTAGGGCTTCGGAAAAAGGGAAGGGCTTTGTGGAAAGGGGAAGGTAAGAGAGAAAGGGCTTTTCTTGCTTCCAGTTCCTCTTGGGACTGTGGGAGCCGCAGCAGCAATCGAAGGTGCTGAGACTCTGCAGCCTTACCTCCCTCCACCTTTACAGGACCTTTGCTATGTCCCTTTGACAGTAGAAATTATCCCCCCTTTGTTCTGCACTTCCTGGGCCATGCTATCTTAACCATGCAAGCACCTGCCATGTTACCCTTGCACCTGGATGTCAGCCATAGTGCTCTGAGGACCCATCATCTGCTGAAAAGACAGTCAGTCCCGAAGTGACCCCTCCAACTCCTCAGTTCTAGTGACAGCACCTTTCCCTTCTGTTTCTAACCCTAAGGGTATTAACTGCTTCCTGCACTTTTTGCGCTCTGGCTACGTCAATGTCTTCTTGCTCTTTCAGCTTTCCAGTAACTGCATCACTAGTTTCCAGTATGAAATCACCTGCTGGCAATACCAAATAATAGAGGAATATATAACATATTAGGAATAAACAAGACTAAAATTAGCATTTTGGTTGACTTTAGATGTAGCAGCCAGCCCACATCTTTACTCCCAGCACTTGGAAGGCAGAGGCAGAGGCAGAAGGATCTCTGAGTATAAGGCCAACTTGGTCTACATAACACATTCCAGGACAGTCAGAATTACATAGTGAAACCTACCTGTCTTGAAACAAACACACACACACACATCAGGTACTCACATGCATACTTACATGCACAATAAATAACAAGGTTCTGAAAATGTCTAATAATCACAAACATAGGCATTATTTAAAGATGTAATGTTGCAAGGATGATTCATATAAATACCACTCATTTTATATAATATATGGAAACACAACTGCTTGCTTATCTTAGAGTAGGCTTTCAGAAAACAGTAAGTCAAATCTTTATTTATCTAGCACCCTAGAGATTTTCTTACAGTCTTAAGAGAATGCAAGATAAAATAACAGCAATATTAGAATGGCAAGGAAGAAATAAAACAAAACTTCTTTTGTAAAGAGGAAGAAGAGCAGGTTGTGAAAAAGAAGCTAAAAAGAAGAACCCACTCACTTGCTCTGCTTTCAGGCACCTCAATTTGAGGAAGAAATATGTAGGCAGGGAAAGCTGGAAACCAGTTCTCTAAATTAAACTTCTGATGTAGGCAAACAGGAAGCAAAGGCTTAAAACAAAATAAATCAAACAAACAAACAAAAAAACCCCAAGGTTATGAGTTTAAAGAATATTAGTTTTAGATTTTATAGGCATGAAATTCAACGCAGGGCCTCATGAGTGCATTGCAAGCAGCAATCACTGAGCTTTATGAAGTCCCTAAAGAATATTCTCAAGGAGCCAGGCTGTTAGTGTATGCCTGTAATACCAGTATTTGAGAAGTAGAGGCAGGAAGATCAAGAGTTCAAGAGCAGCCTCAGCTAAATAGGGAGTGCACAATCAGTCTGCATTACTTGAGACCCTGACACAAAACAACAAAAAACAAAACAAAACCCTAAAATAATCATGTTAAGGAAGTGTTCACAGTGTCAAATCCACAGAACTATTTGTTGGTCTCTTACAAACACATGGAAATCAAAAGTCAGAATTAAATAGAAGCTTAATTGTTTTAGAAAATGCAAATTAAGTCCCACATGAGAGTAACAAAGCTTTCTGTGTGGTTATCCTACCTTTTTTGAAAAACTGGAACTCGAGAGTGGCATCCTTACCAACATCAACCATACTCTCACCATGTGTGCTGTTGAGTTTTAAGTCTCACTTTCAGGTGCCCGTTCTGCACTACAGCTTCCCTCAGCACTGCTGACAAACTCTACCAGCAGAAAGGGTCACAGCAGCCTAAAGGAGAGCCTGACTTACAATTCTAAAAGCTTTTCTCTAAAAATAAATTATCTCATATTTTATTATTATTACAGAAGTGAGCAACTTTAAATGGCTTATTTACTTTGTGGATATATAAACAATTATTTTTCACTTATGAGAATAATTATTCCACTCCTACCACCCCAGGCTATAGAAACCACTAGCAAAAATAATGACATGTTTTGCTCCCAGTAGACTTCCTAGATGTATTTCACCACCCTCTCAGATTACCTTGGCCAACTTGGTAAGGTCCAGGACAGCCCCTCCACATTGTGAACTACACACAGCATTGACATACACAGCATACTGAGCTGGGGCATCCGGCCAGGTTCACTTGAGCCACAACCTTAGCTGCTTCCAAAGATGGGGGAGCAATGTAAACCTAGGTACTGGCTATGTGTGAAGCAGCAGAGAGTGATGGTGGCACATTTCTGTTCTAAAGGCACTCAACTATTCCGGAAAACTAAAAGCTGAAGACAGACATGCTTGAGATGAACACGACCAAACCTGCTAGGGTCAAGGTGATGTGATAAGAGACTGAGCCAGAAGCACTGCTCTTGGGGACACCTGAATGGCCAGTCCCACTGCTCCTGTACACTGGAGCAATTTTTAATTCTAGTAAAACTTAATTCTAATAAGTACCATCTGAATGCAAGCATTGTAATACTAAAACTCTTGATCTGATAGCCAAACAGCTACTAAGTGTGTAATGGGCACCTAAGTGGCATATATACTATTGGTAATACCGGACAAAGGGATGATTCATGTCACAAGTGGGACAAGAGAATGTGTGAGATCTCGTCATGCTACTCAGAAAGGATTGTTCGCACAACACATTAGTTATTTATGTTGAATTTTCTAGATAACATTGCTGGGCCACACTTGGTTCCAGCTCAACTACAGAAAGTGGAAACTGCAGGTAAGGACACTAGTACATACACATGTCAGACCCAATCTATGTCCCTGGCTTAGTTTGTTATATTAAAAACCACGCAACTCATACTTGAATATAAACAACATTTTATTTCAATACTTTAATATTTAAACTGACTATTATACATATTCCTCAAGTCTTACTTCACTGTCTATATTTCAGGAGATATTCAAGGTAAGCATAACATGATGAAGCATTCTCAGCAACTGCAAGTACCATACCTCATCTCCTACTTGAGTCAGTCCTGTAATGTCTTACTTCGTATCCACTGTGCTGCAGCATGTATGAAATAAGTTAGTGCAACCCGGAGCTACAGTTTATGGAAACACCCTAGAGATGTGGATTTGCCATCCCAATTCCTTTACACTCAATGATGTAAGTGTCCTTAGATGCATCTTCTTCCTCTTCTGACTTCTTCACAGTAAATTTGGCCTGAAAGCAGAGTATTAGTATGTAAGTATACATGAAGAGGACAGAGAGACAATCCTAGAATCAAAGTTAAGGAGACAGAGAGTCAGTGTCAAACCCATTTGTTGAAGAAGGCACACACATAAAAGTCAAGCGACTTGTGAAAAAAAAAAATCCAAGAGCTTATTTTGTCCTGGGACTGTGGTTCTGGTTCACTGTTGTGGAGTCTGTCAGAACAGAGACTCAGGCTCCACTCCACACCCACTGAGGAACATGAGACATGTGCAGCCAAGGCAAGTGTAAATTCTGAAGCACTGACTATTGCTGGTTAGAAGACACCTCTTCTCTTCCCTTTTGTTTTTCTAAAACATGGATGGGTCTGAATCATTTACCTGTCATGTATGACATTTATTCGCTCTCATTAAAGTTTTCCTGCCAATTTAATTCTCTAAATACATAATTCAAGAAGCTAGTTCAGAAACGGGGGGTGGGATGGGGTGGGAGTGGTGGTGACTAATATCCTTCATCATTGAGCTCAATGCTGTAGTTCTCACTTGTTAGCTAAAGGCAGGTTTGAAATATGTGGTCTCTGTCACTGTTTTCAGGAAGCATCATTTTTAAGACAAGTGCAGTTCCTTTTTACAAAACTGAATTTAAGTCAAAAAAACTGAATAGGTTTCAGATTCTGACACAGGTATTTCAAGTGTGCCTAGGTTTTAGGAGTCTCTAAACACAATCTGAAGCCATTTTTCTGTGGTCATACTGACCAGCAATGTTCACAATGCTTCAGTTTCTGTGTATGTAGCAGTATACTGTACAAATAGACATCTAGAAAATCACTGTGGAATGAACAAACACTGAACACAGAGCAAGGGAATCGAACTCTATACCGTTATGTGGCTGCATTTTTCAAATTACAAACATGAAAATATGAAGCACAAGTAGTAGATAGGGAATCATTTCAAGTTTATGCTTAAGCCTACTTATGGAGTCTAAAAGATGATATAGTTGAAGTCTCTGATTTTTACAGATAAGCTATTTTAACTGAGAAAAAATAAAGATACCCTGGTACAAGTCACCCAGTAGAGTACAATAAGGAGCCAAGTGGTACAGACCTGTAAGCCCAGTACTCAGGAGGCTAAGGTAGAAGAACCTTGTGTCTGAAGCCAGCCTAGACTATACTTAGTAAGATCCCCTTTGAAGAAAAACACCCAACACTCATGCATACACAGTTGAATAAGAAGCAAGAATCACAAATCCCCCAGCTCATGATACTTTCTGCTGTGTACTCACTTGTAATGTGTAAGTGCCTACGAACATACTAAGTACTATAAAACTTAAGGCTTCAATGAATGAAACTTGATACCAACTAGCAAGAACACCAGTCTATGAGAGAGAAGAAAAAAATAACTGTACATACAGATAAGCAGAAATAAAAAATAAGTGAAAGGGCTGAAGAGATGGTTAACACTTAGGAGCACTGGCTGTTCTTCCAGAGGACCCAGATTCAATCCCAGCACTCACATGAGGCTCACAATCTCCTATAACTCCAGTTCCATGGATTCAGACACCCTCTTCTGGTCTCCCAGGGAAACAGACACAAATATGGTACACAGATATAAATGTAGGCAAAGCATCCATGCATATAAAATAAAACAGAAGTAAACTTAAAAAATAATAGGGTGAAGCTCAGTGACAGAATGCTTGCCTGACATGCACAAATCATTGGTTTGGATTCCTAGGACAATTAAAACAGCAGCAACAAAAGGAATCAAGACTATCAGAAGGGCTGGAGAGATGGCTCAGCTGGTAAGAGCATTGTCTGCTCTTCCAGAGGTCCTGAGTTTAATTCCCAGCAACCTCATGGTGGCTCACAACCATCTATACCAGAATCTGATGCTCCCTTCTGGCATCCAGGCAGACATGCAGATAGAGCACTTATACATAAAATTTAAAAATATATATTATAAATATTCACTCATCTCAGATATATTATGCTTTTGATTCTCATCAGGTTTTTCCTGATTTAAGCAAAACCTATCTATTCCTGATAATAACAGCAAACAAAAAGAGTACAAACTGCAAGGCAGGAGACAGGGGCTCTGTGCACCCATACAGCTGTGATACTCAAGTTCTCTTTAGCTAGTGAATTATTCTTGGTGATAGAGGTCTGAGACCGGGTCTTCTTATATAGCATCTGCTGGCCTTGAAGACTTGAACCTCCTGACCCCACTTCCCAAGTGCTAGAATTAAAGCATGCAAGACTACACATGGCTCATTAAGAATATTCTTTTCAGTCTGCATATCATCAGACACAGAGTCTTTGCCTGGTTCTATCCTCCTACTGGGACACACTGGAGGGACCTTGGCAAGTAGTGGCATTTGCTCTTCAGAGGCACTGAAGGGTGGCAACCATATTTCTAGTACCAGTTTCTTCTCTTGACCACCAAAATTGTTTTGATCACTCTGGGTGGGAGCGTTCTGTCATGATGACTGCACTGGACCCTCAAAGCTCTGTGTATTGTGCCTTGTAGTGAGATAATGAATTATGGCCATTGGAAACATTGTTTAAAATATATATATATTCTTTTCTCTTTCCTCTTCCTTTCTTTCTTTCTCCTTCTTTTTAGTTTTTTGAGACAGGGTTTCTCCATGTAGCCCTGGCTGTCCTGAAACTAGCTCTGTAGACCAAGTTGGCCTCAAATTCAGAAATCTACCTGCCCACCTACCTTTGCCTCCTGAGTGCTAGGACTAAAAGTACGACCACAAGCTTTAGGGTGTGTGTGTGTGTTCTCTTTGCTTCTTTCTTATTCTTTTGTTTTGTTTTGTTTTATTCTTGTTTGTCTTTGTTGCTTGCTTGCTTTTATAAGAAAGGTGTGAGTTGGAAATGTGGGAAGGTAGGGAGGATCTGGCAGGAGATGAGAGAAGGGAAACCAGATCAAAATATTTTGTATGAAAATCATTATTTTCTTTTTTTAAGATTTATTTATTTTATGCATATTAGCTCTATCTGCATGTGCACCTGCACACCAGAAGAAGGCAGTAGAGGGTATAGATGATTGAGAGCCACCATGCAGTTGCTGGGAACTGAACGCAGGACCTCAGGAAGAACAGACAGTGCTCTTAACTGTTAAGCTATCTCTCCAGCCCCAAAATAATTATTTCCAATTAACAAATAAGTAAAATTAAAAGAAGAATATTCTTTAGGGACTGTGATACAGTTCTTCTATATTCTTTTTGTTGTTCTTGTTCTTATAGCCTAGGCTGGCCTGAAATGTGCTATGAAGACAAAGCTGGCCTCTGACCCCCAATTGCTAGATTACAGGCACTCACTACCATGCCTCACATGAATTACTTTTATAATTTCAAAAAAGATTGCAATCTCATAAAACCTGAGTCATAAATCTTATAGAATTATATTACAGAGAATAAAGCAGCTGGGTGTGGTGGTTCCTACTGTAGCCCAGCATTCTATAGCCTGAGGCCAGGGGATCACAAGTTCTACTGGTCTACCTAGAACAGTCAAGGCCAGGCCAGAATACATACTAAGGCCTTGACTTAAGAAAACCAAACTAAAACCATGCAAAAGAATAAAAAAGAAATTCCAAAGTAAAAACATGCTACATTTCTGGAAAAGAAGCTGTATATATTAATGAAAAAGAACTAAAAAGTAGCTTTACTAACCAAAAGAAATAATTTGTAAATGTTCTATGAGAAATTAACTTCACAGTGAAATACATAAAGATATTTACTGTTATATATACATATATACACATACATATGTACATATATTTAAGAGTCCTGAAGAAAAGATATAAACATGAGCGCACACAACGCCTTCACTGATACTGAGGACCTCAGAGCCTCATCTTACTCACCCACAGTGGTGAGATACACAGACAGGTGCTGCGGCTGCTAAGAGCCCGCCACCCAGAAAGCCCATGAGCGGTACCAACTGTGACTACTAGTGGGTTTCCTGGTCATTCTAACAGAATACTCACCTTCGCCAGTTGTTCAGCAAAATGTATAGCAGTCTGTGTGTGGAGTGTGACTGGTCCTGTTTTTATTCTGGAAATTCCATTGGCCAGTGCCATGAAAATAATCAGCTATCAAAAAATAAGAAAGAAGAAAAACATCAGAATCTCAAATTCTACAGCCACACATAAGGAAAATGCTTCTAGAAATCAAAACCACTTTAGAAAAGAATTAAAAGAATAATTTCTATTTTCTTGATATTCCCAGAAGCTTGAGATGGTGACAAAGAGTGTGTGTTAATCAGTCTGTGGCTTGGTAAATGCTTAACAAGGCTCACTTAAAAATTTATGTTTCAGAATAAGATAGAGCTGGACGTTGATTCACATAATTAGATCCTAATACTTCTGCAAGCTGGCCTACATAATAAGTTTTCTATTCTTCTAAAATTCCATTTTAAAAGGTAAAGGGAGACTACAGAATTCCTGAAAATGTGTACTTAGGCAAGAAGAAAATGACTAAACATAAGGAAAACTGTCCCAAGAAAATGGTCAAGATATCCTGAAGAGCCCTTCCTTTTCCTTCTTTTTCTTTTTGATTCTGAGGATTAGCCACAAGACTCCAGGCATGTTAGACAGGAACAGCTCCACCACTGAGGCAACCTGAGAACACATTTCTAAAAGTAGACTGGTGCCTTGAGAGGAAGATATGGTAAAAAGGAAAACACAGAGACAATGAAACATAAAAACATCTTCTCTACCAAGCCTGGTGGTGCACACCTATAATCCCAACACTCAAGAGGCCGAAGCAGAATGGAGAATGTGAAGTTAGAGACTGAGACCTTGTCTCAAAAGAAGAGGTACAAATATTCAACAGCACTTCACAAAAGGTGAACCATGAGACTGTTGTGTGCGCACATGTGCGTGTGTGTGTGTGTATGGCCTAGAATGGAAATGCCCTGCATTGAGACCAAGAGGATGTGACTAAGGTGTCTGAATATGCCACAATTAAAGAAATCTGTATGAAACATAATTATGTTCAAATCCAGCAGGGAAAAAGGCTTTGATCCTGAAAGTCTCATTACCTGGTCTTGTAGATATTCGTCCACAGTACCACCATGTCTAAGATTTGCTAATAGCATTTCAGCTGCTTCAATTCCAACCTTGTCTGCATTCACACCTAAAACAGACATAATAAAAAAGAAAAGAACAACAAATTACTCCAAGTCACCAAGTTTAACTGAACTGAATAAGGTGACAAAAACATGAAATCCCAACACTTAAGAACCTAAACTAGGATTGTTCCAAGTTCAAGGTCAACCTGGGTTACAGTGAAATTCTGTCTCAGAGAAACAAACAATCAAAAAGTTTATAAATTGGCACATCCAAATTAGCACTGATGTAAAATTTTTTTTAGGCTTCTCATCTTAAACAATGCACTTTTCAGGAAGGATCTCATGTTATTTATAATCTTATAAAGCTTGAGAAATGCCAATGTGCTGATGCATAGTGGAGGAAAAATAGGTTATTTGGTACCTGCTTAAAAAACTACTAATTATGGAGCCAGTGAGATGGTTCAGAGGGCAATGGTACCTGCAGCCAAGCCTGATGACCCATGTTCAATTCCCAAGAAATAAATGGTGAAAAGAGAAAACTGACTTCTGAAAGTTGTCCTCCGACCTTCACATGTGCTCTATGGCATATATTCCTTAAAAACAGTACTCATGTGTTGGGAATGTGGCTCCATGTGTGAACACCTGCCTTGCACTTGTAAGGCACTAGCGTACCTGGAACTATGAAAAACAAAACAAAAAGCAGAGATTGGACAGCCAGGTATGGTGGCACATGTCTGTAATCCCAGCACTCAGGGAGGTAGAGGCAGGAAGATGTCTGAGTTGGAGGACAGGCTGGTCTACAAAAATGAGTCTAGGACTCGCACAGAGAAACCCTATCTCAAAAAAAAAAAAAAAAAAAAAGCAGAGATTGGAGATGGCTATATAGTCAAGAGCACTGGACGCTCTTCGAGAAGAGCCAGGTTCAATTTCCACATGATAGCTCAAAACTGTCTGTAATTCTAGTTCCGGGGGACCTAACACCCTCTTTTGCTCTCCCCTGGCACTAGGGATGAAAGTAGTGCACAGACATACATGTAGACAAAACACTCAGACCTGTAAACTAAAATAATTTAACTTTTAAAACTTAATTATAAAGCCACTTTCTAACAAAGCTGTAATCCAAAGCTCTGCCTGTTTCCAATCTAAAACTTGTGATTTACGCAAGTTAGAATTAGTCACAGATAATTTCATCAGAATAGAAGGTTTTTTTCAGTATCCTCTTAAAAAGGAACAGGTAACATTCTCAGATCAAACCCAGCATATAGAATGCTGATGCAGGAGTCTTGAGTTTGAAGTTAGCCTGAGCTTTAGGTGAAGACACCATTTCACACAACAAATAACAAACAAAAAATTTGAACAGGTTCTAGTTCATTTTAAATTATGTCCCTTGTTCTTCTATTTCCTACTTTTTCATATATCTGAACCCTTCAGTAGAAAGATGAATAGAAACAAGTCTATCAGAAGTATGGAAAGTCAAATTCTCCTATATTCTTTAAAACAAATCCTTGGCTACAAATCAAAATGTCTTAAACACTCAGAGTAAAGCTAATTTTGTTTATATTTTATATCTTTACATTTACTGGATAATATATATGATCAAGTACACATACACCTTGAGAAAAAGCTGTACACAAAATCATCTTTGCAAGATTCCTCCTAAAAATGTTCATAGGAAAGCCCTAAGCATGAGACAACCAGACTAATTCAAACTGGGAGGGATTCTGTTGAGAAAAATGTCCTGAACTTTTCTAAATGTCAGTATCATGACAGTTAAAAAGAAAAGGCGAAAAGTTTAGAAGTACAGAGAATTCTGTACTAAAGACAGAGCTCGGCATGGTGGTGCATGCCTATAATCCCAGCACTTGGAAAGCTAAGACAGGAGGATTGTCAGGCTGGGCTACACAATGATTACCAAGCCAACCAGCGCTGTCTGCAGAAAACCAGATACATTAATGAAGTAGAATAAGAGTCGATAACATGACAGCCCAAAGCTATGCAAACATAAGAATAAATAAACACATCCAGATTGTTTTTAGGCAACCTGTTTAAGTAACGTGTGTGTCTGTGTACCAAACTCTTCAGGTGTAAAGCCAGTATTCTGAATCTGTGGGTATTTAGAAATGCATGCAGCAGTGTTCATGACTGAGGCATGGTACCACAACTGAACATTGAAACAGTTCAGAAATGTACATAACATGTAGCTAAATGTTCACGGCTAGTGTACTTAGGAGAGGGTATATGAATGACCACTTGAGGTCTGAAAATTTTTCAAAGTACAAAGTTGGAAGATGCTGAGTCTAAAACAGAATTAGTTGACTCTATCTTTTAAATATGTCAGTCATCATTCTCAACAATGTATCCTGAAGAGATAATGATATTTTCAATGGTGATGGGAATTATAGACCCCTTTCATTCATGTATACCTCTTTTGCCAAGTGATGACCCAGCAAGCAAGCAGCCAGTGGATGTCTCAGCAACGATGCTACATGGGAGGAAAAAGTGTAATTATCCACACTGTAATATTCTAAATTTTACATAAATACAACACAAGAGACCAGTTACTGTTAAAAAAGCAAAGTTAAATCTGGCCATTACACAGAAATAGTGAAATTCTCCCACAGACAAGTCACTAATAATCTCCCATCAGCCCTCATTGGGCAGTGGGATTCCTTTGGATAAAGTCTCTGCAGATTTTAATCGACTCGCATGTAAAGAATGCCGCAAGTTATTCTGTCATTAGCACTAAGTGGTTACGGGCACATAGCAGTACAAGCACTCTATGGGTGTCTTAAATAAAAAGGTCTTCATACAGACTTGCGTTTTGTTCTGCTTATTTAGGTAGTATTATGGAAAAGAAAGCAAGTACTCACTTTAAACTTTGTAAATTTCTGAGTAAGGTGTTTTCTTAAAAGACAACATTACATATTGAATATCTGTCATTTCATACTTAAGGTATCTTTAAAAGACTGGAAACATTTCTGTTAGTGTTACTTTCAATGACAACTTTCTGATTAGCTTAAATATTTAAGGAGGATGGAGACGGGTCAGTGGTTCAGAAAACTGCTCTTGCAGAGGACCCAAGCTCAGTGCCCAGCGCTCACTTAAGACAGCTGACAACTGTATGGAAATGTAGTGCCAGAGACCTGATGGCCCCTTCTGGACTCCACAGATGCCCGCACTCACACGCACATACCCACATGAAGACACACATATACGTAACTAAAATAATAAAAATAAATCTTAAAAATATTTAAGCTCACTACAACTGTCCCACAGTATTCATGGGGAGTTCATTCCAGGATCTGAAATCCAAGTTTAAGTCCTTTATTTAAATGGCATCGTATCAACTAACAATGTAATTCCCGCTGGGGAGACATCAAGATTGCTGAAAATCTGAGGCCAGTCTGGAGTATAGAGTGAAATCCTGTCTCAACAAACCAAGTAATATGCTGGGCATGTGGCTGGAGCATGTCTGTGCTGCCCGAAAGGAAGCAGGAAGATCATGAGTTCAAGGTGATCCTTGGCTACAAGCAAGCTGGAGGTCAGGCTAGACTCCATGAGACCTTGTTTCAAAAGTCAAAAAACAAAAAGAAATGAACACTGATACTAATCTTAGAAGCACATCTTCCCATCTACACTGACTCACCTCTAGAGTACTTAGAATAAATAGTACTGCAATGTACACACTTTGTAATAGTTGTCACAATGTACTTAAGTACAGTGTACTTAAAATGACAAGAGAAAAAACTGCCTGTATACATCTAGAACATAAGCTTTTTTTTCCCCCAAATACTTTTATCTGGAGTTGCTTGAACTGTAGACATGAAACCAACAGATAAAGTCCTACAAAGTACAAGGGTCTACAAAATACATCGAAAAAAAAAAATCAGAATGACCTTTTCTTTTTCTTTTTTTTCTTCTGTGTTTTGCTTTTACATTTTGAAGGCAGTATCTTGATAAATAGTCCCGGCTGCCTCCAAACTTATCATGCAGGCTTGGTCTAGATGCCCTCAAACTCATGATCCTCTTGCCCCAGTGTCTTGAATTTGGGAAGTACATCCATGTAACACCAAGCCTCAACCAGAATAATCACACTAATTCACCAAGCTGTTGTTTTAGGTAGAAATGTCCTTACAAATATGTTGGAGAACGATGAACTGAGCAAAAGCCCTTCAACTCTTTGAAGGGACAATGACTTCAGGGTCTCAACTAATTCTAAGTCTGTGCTCTCACATGATTCCACTCCCGTTGCCGAAGGCTTGGTCCCTGGCCTCCTGCACAGGCTGGATGCTCACATACAGATCCCGGATCTCCTTCCTGATGCATCGCACAGCCGCCGCTGCCATATCTTTTGCTACCTTTTGGCAAAACAGAAAAGGAGAACAAATTTGTCACTGGTTATTTAGACAACTGCTTTCAGTCCTTCAAAATTACATAACAGAGTTAACCTTTCCATGCATGACTTTTTTAAACTTCTAGCGAGTAGTAACTTTTAAGGAACGTTTAGATGAAGACATTCACATTAAGTTGTTGGGAACTGAAGAGATGGCTCAGCAGTTCAAAGCACTTGTTGCTCTGCAGAGGAGCTAGGTTCAGTTCCCAACAGTTGCATGGTGGCTAACAACCACCCCTTAACTCCAGTTTCCGAGGACTTGCCATCCTCTTCTGACCTCTGCAGATACAGAGCACAGATGTGGTATACAAGCATACATGCAGACAAAACTCATACACATTAAAATAAAATAAGTTGGAGGCTGAAGCAATGACTCAGCAGTTCCAGAGAACCCACATTTGATCCCACGCACCCATGGGCAGCTCATCACCATCTGTAACTCCAGTCCCAAAGGACCTATCACCCTCTTCTGGCCTCAGATGGCACAGATCTACATATATGCAAAATACCCATACATATAAAAATAAAACAAAATTTAGAAAACAAATAAATAGGGGCTGGAGAGATGGCTCAGCGATTAAGAGCACCGGCTGCTCTTCCAGGACTGGGTTCAGTTCCCAGCACCCCCATGGCAGCTCACAAACATCTATAACTCAAGTACCAGTGGATTGGACTCTCTCAGACAGACATGTGCAACCCAAACACCAATAAATAAATAAATAAATAAATAAATAAATAAATAAATAAATATTTTTTAATTTAATTAATCGGAAAAAAAAAGTTCTGCCAGGCAGAGTGGGGAACACCTTTAATCCTAACATTTAGAAGGCAGAGACAAATGGAACTCTGTGAGTTTGAGGCCAGGTTGTTATATAAGGTAAGTTCCAAGCCAGAGAGGTACACGGTAAGACCCTGTCTCAAACAAAATACATGTTTCTTCGGCCATCTTGAGATGGCTCAGTGGGTAAAAGCAGCTGTTGCCAGGCTTGCTGGCATGAGTCGGAGCCCAGGGCTCACAGGGTGGAGATAACCGGTTCCTGTCGGCTGACCTCTTTTCCCTCCACAAACACACCACGGCATGTTTACCAATCCCTACTTCTACATGTACACATGGAATGCAGCCCTATCCCTACCCCTCAAAATAAATAAATGTAACTTAACAGGCGTTCTAAGGCAGGGCATGCAGCTCAGGCTTCCCAATGTATGCTCAGCATACAGAAATACTGGGGTTTACTGGGCCTGTAAATTCAAGGCCATCATCAGCTCTATCAGAGCTACATTAGCCCCAGTTTTGAAACAGACAAACTAACAACACTGTGCAGCAGAGGCAAGAGGAGTACTGAAAGTTCAAGACCATCTGGTGTACCCAGTAAGATCCAGGAAGCAGGAACTATTCATGAGATCTAGTTTTAAAACCACAAAATCCTCAAAAGAAAGAAAAATAAACAAGCAAAACTTCAAAACTGTCTGAGAACTCTTATTTTGAAAGAAAAAAATACTCTCAAAATTCTCATGCCCTAGTACTAGCAAGGTGTCCATACACTGGAAGAGCACCACGACAACTTACTTTTATTGGCAAAACACCGGCAACAAAAGCTCTCCCATAAATCTTAGTCACAGAGCCACGGTCAGTCAGATTTATTGGGTCCAACTGTTTAACTGGTGACGTTCGGACAATCACTTCACCACCCCCTTTTGGGTAATAGCCCCTAGGAAAAATAGAACAAACACCTACTCCATAACTGAGTACATAACAAAGCAAAGCTTAACAATACATTACAGTAACAAAATATCAAAGGATATAGAATTTGTGGAAATTCATGGAAAGGTCTAAATAATATCTGCACTCTCAGATGTCCACTCTGTGATGTTAAGATCCATGTGACTACTGAATCTCTGGCCATAAGTAAAGCTCAAAGAGAGAAGGTATACTTAGCATGTGCATGTGAGGCCCTGGGTTCAAGCCCCAGCACCCAAAGAAATCATCCTCTAGCTACATGAGACAACCAGGTGCTCGGTGCGCACAGCACAGTGACAACCACGTAAGTCAGTGCAGAACATGTTCCTCCTCAGCAGCTTCTACTCAGAGGGCTGCTGGAGGGCAGAAGCTCTTCAACACTGGCTCTGCTAGTTTCTTTTTTTCTAGGCCTAAAATAACACATGCCAGGCACTCAGATTAATACCTGAGGTAAAACTATAGCTCAGTTCTATTCATTTATTGCAGATGCTGAGAACTGCTGTGCTTCCATCTTCAAGAACCTCAATCTGGTAAGGAGATGACGTAGTTTACAATCTACTAAGATTATAAGTATGGCTGCAAAGAGGTTCCAACAGATAAATGAGTAAATGCATTTATCAACAATTCACACAAGGAATTATATTTTCTATTTTTGAATATAATTTTTAATTTTTAAGTGAGCAGGGGATAAATAACATGAATTTAAAGGTGCAAAGTAGTTTTAAGACTGTGGGCAACCCACCAAGTTAGACTATGACAACTTGGAAGTAGTAGGGAAGATGAAACTAGAGCGGAAAACTGGGGCAAGACCATAAAGTATTAAGCTCCACGCGGAAGACTTTACTCTTGTTACAGCACAGGACAGCCTTACAGCTCTTAGGAAGTCAATTCTCACCGCACTGTGGAGCAGTCTCTCTATGGCTACAGAGTGCCTAGCACATCGTCCACACATAGTAACCCTTTCTCCTGTTCAGAAGCACGGGTAACACAGGTGTGGGTAACACCAGTGTGCATAACACAGGTGTGGCTAACACAGATGCGGACAACACAGGCATAGATAACACTAGCTATAAAGATACCCTCCTTGTAGAAACCCCATGAAAATATTTCTCTCAAGAAACAAATGAATGCCACTGGTAGCTAGTAAGGTCCCACAGTTTTACAGTTTATATCTTTAAGCCATAAAGTACAATTACTTTCTGTAAGAAATGCATTAACACAATGCATTAAAAGTATCAAAGTGCTGAGTGTGGTGGTACACGCCTTTAATCCCAGCACTCGGGGAGGCATAGACAGGCAGACTGCTGGTTTGAGGCTAGCCTGGTCTACAAATTGAGTCTAGAACAGCAAAGGCTACACAGAGAAACCCTGTCTTAAAAAAAAAAAAAAAAAACAGAAAACGGGCTGGAGAGATGGTTCAAGGACCCGGGTTCAATTCCCAACACCCACATGGCAGCTCACAACTGTCTATATTGCCGATTACAAGGGATCTAACACCTTCACACTAATGCATATAAAATTAGATAAATTATTTAAAAAAAAAAACAGAAAACAAAAAAAGAAGCGTATCAAAGTAACAGTTCTCTAAATCTAAGTTTTCCACTACGTTCGGAACATGTACGATGTTAAAAAGGCTAAGGGCTGGGATGCAGGTCAGCAGCAGGGGACAGGCGGCATGCACTTGTGTTGGATCCCCAGCAACAAGCAGTAAGGACTCAAGAGACTTACCTCATTTTAATGTCACAATTAAATTTGAAACCAAATTTCTCAGCAATTGGCTTGAAAACCTGAAAAAGTCAGTTGTTACTTTAGCCACCAGAATGCACAGACTCAGCAAGTTCAATTACTAAATTAAAAACACTATTCAGTGGGCTAGTCAGTAGGTGATGCAGATTCACAGGCAGCAAGTAGCGAGACCAACACTATCATTCAAACAAGAAAATGTGTTACCCAGCTACACGTTTGGCACTTAGTCTAATAGAGACAGCTCTGCACACTTGATCCCAGGAAGCCTCCCTGACAGTATCAACAGTGTACATGAAGACAGAAGAGGGCGCTGGTGAGCACCCTTCCATTATGCAGTCTCAAGTCTCTTGAAATTTTACTAGATAGTCAACGCTTTACCTTTGCTTTTTCTCATTTCATATTAGACACATTTTTCATAACCTAAGTTCTTCCCAAGCAATATTTGTATGACATGGCACCTGAGCAGAATTTACTGAACTGTCCTGTAAGGCAGTGGTCCTCAGCCTTCCTAACGCTGCCACCCTTTAATACAGTTCCTCGTGTTGTGGTGGCCCCCAAGCACAAAATCATTCACTGCTACTTCATAACTGTAATTCTGCTACTGTCATGAATCACAATGTAAATACCCAACATGCAGGATATCTGATACGTGACCCCCCCAAAGGGCAAAGATCCACAGGTTGAGAACAGGAATCACTGCTGTAAGGTGTCTTGTCTACACAATGACGATCACAGTTTATACAGGCTGTGTTCAAGTGTCTTTAACATTCACATTTCACTGAATTCTATATTTAGAGTAGTTTCCTCTACGTGAATTACTAGGTGAAGTATCTTTGTTTTGTCTTGTTTTTTGAGACAGGGTTTCTCTGTGTAGGCCTGGCTGTCCTGGAAGTCACTGCAGATCTGCCCACTTCTGCCTCCTGAGTGCCACCAACCACCTGGTGAAGGTGACTTTCACTGCACATCTCAGCACACTGACTAAAAAGATGATGCCATCCATCAGAATGGCAGTGTTTCAAAAGAAGATGGTATTTAAGCTGAAGCCTACAAAAACATGAGATCTTCTTGAGAGTTTTACTCACATCTCTAGGCTATCTCCATGTGTATAGGAGGTATAGACAGTAGTAAATTTCTGTGATCTTGTTTTTTGTTTTTTTTTCAAAGACAGGAGTGTTGATGTAGCCCAGGGCAGGCACTTGCCTAACACATGTAAAGCCCTGGGTTTTGTTCCCAAACATTTCAACTCAAACAGAGGGAGGGGTATAAAGCACCTAGTGTTGAGTAGGATACAGAAAAGGAGCTTTCATGGGGTAACAAAAAGGACAGGGCTGAAGAACATTTTGGCAGTCTCTGCCATCTTAGTGGTGATGAATTTGTTCAAAATTGCTAAAAGATAGAAGTAACTCAAATGACCTTCAACCCCTGAGTAGACAGATAAAACTTGCTCATTCACAGAATAACCACTTAGCCTTTACTGCAGTAACATCGAGTCTTAAATTTATTATGTAAATGAAAGAAAAAAAAAAGATCCAGGAGCTGGCACTGCAGCTTAGTGGGTAGTGGGCATGCCTGGCACAAATAAGTCCCTGTTCACACCCCCATAAACTGGCCTTGGTGGTATACACTTGTAACTCTAGCATCCTGAAGGTGGAAGGTGGAGGATCTGAAGTTCAAGGTCACTGTTCCTACATATCAAATTTAAGGCCAGCCTGGGATACATAAGACCCTGTCTCAAAAGGGGGGGGGGGGAATCTAAGGCTATACAGAGCATTAGTACTTTATATGACACTCTAAAAAAGACAAAACTAAGAAATGGTGGTTGTGAGGACTTGTGGACAGACTAGGTACAAAGGGTTTGTAATTTTTTTTTTAAATAGAACTATTCCTCTTAGTTTTTTAAATAAAACTATTCCACTATCTTAGTTGTGGAAGTTGATTAACATATATATTTGTACAAAATTCCTAAAATTGTATTTAAAGGAGTAAATCTAATTGTGCAGAACTGTGCTACAATAAACCACAGAAAAACAAAACAAAACACTAATACAGATTGAAGATCCTTACCTGAAACCGCTCAAAAGCAGCAGGGCTTGGTCAGATTCTGCAGAATTTGCACACACACAGCAGGACACAAACATGAAGCTCACTCACATTCACACGTGGTATACACAGAACCCACATGCCACCGTACAGTGCCCTGCGCAGCTGTGCTGTGATCACAGCCCATCACATAAAGTCAGCTGGGAAATGTCCCTCTTGTGGCATAATGCTGGTGCTCAAATATTTCTGAATTTTCTATTTTAAAACTGTATTAGTTGATTGGGGGTTTTTGGCGCCACTGCATTTGCATGGCGGCCAAGAGTGTCATTTTCAGGAGTCAGCTCTGGCCTGTTCGTGTTCTGGGGGCTGAACTCAGGTCATCAGGCTTGCATAGCAACTGCTTTCACCCAAGGAGCCATCTCCTGGCACACTTGGTATTTCAGACTAGAGAACTCAACCTGCACCACTTTTCTTCCCTCTAAGCATGCCAACACTAAAATAAAAACGGCTGATTTATATGATAACTGGTGTAATTTACATAATTATACTTTTAGGTCCTTAAAAAACTCAGTATGAACACTATCTTAATTTATAGTATAAACCTAATTTTATTCCCACTCCTGCAACAGGACTACAACACATGTGTGAACATGTGAACAAGAATGTCCATGAAAAGATTCCAGTCACATTTAAACAGAGAACACGAGGTTGCCCCTTACCATCGTGGTGTAATCAATCTGTGGTGCCATTTCAGCATTAGTCCCGCCTTTTAAACGAAGTTCCGATGGAGAAGCAGCAAACAGAACACAGGGCACTGAAACCTGCATCAAGAGGCACACACTCCTAAGGAAAAGGCAGAACACGCTTAACTGGACTGTCAGAATCTCAGAACAGTAGTACTCATTACTACACATCAGTGTGACTGGAAGCTCAGACAAAGAAAAAGTTAGAAAACACTGCAGTGACTGAAGGGTAAAATCCTGACTCTTAAATAAGTATTGCAAAGTAAAAAGGTGCAAACTGGGCCGAGGTGGTAAATCAACAGTAAAAGGCTTCAGCCTCTCATCTGTGAGGCCTTGGGGCTGAGTACCCAACGCCAACAAAAAAATAATTAAATTAAAAATAAAAATGTGGCTGGGCAGTGGCAGCACAAGCCGTTAATTCTAGCACCTGGGAGGCAGAGGCAGGTGGGTATGCGTTTGAGGCCAACCTGGTTTACAATCTGAGTTACAGGATAGCCAGGGCTACACAAAGAAGCCGTCTCAAAAAACTGAAAGGGGGGGGAGAGGGGGATGAAACCTTCAAACATTTTCTGAAACTATTCTTGAAAGCAGCAGTTGATGTAAAATGCATTCAGAAGAGCCAGGACTAGAAACAGCCGCCGCTTACACTTGGGTTGTTTCCAAGCACAGGACACCATGTAAATATCACAGTATTGTTCCTACCATCGCAGAATCCATGTGACACGACACGACTGGAAACTGAACGTCTAACATGAAGTTTCCTCTTTATAGTCAACATTAAGAATCACAAAACTTAGTCACAGAACATAAAGGGTTTTTAAAAATAAAGTACTTGGTCAGACTTTTTAAATGAATGATTACTGTCCTACTTTAAAATGGCAGCAATCACATTCTTCAGAAGTTTTAAAGGGAATTAGGAATAGCATGTACAACCAAAAGAAATCCTTTACCATCATATAACAGATACATGTGTACTCAACTACAAAGTCTCAATTGCTGGGGCCTGAATGCTGCGCAAACGAACTCTGTTGTCTGTCTATCCATGGTGTTACAACTCTAACAAATCTCTTACTCAAAGGAACATTCCAAAAGTTTCTATTATTGATAAGCTGTTTCATCAATGCTCTAAATGTTCATTGGCTGAGAAATGCACGTAGCAGTGGAAAGGAAAATGCAGGCAACATGAAATATTCTCCTTAGAAGTGGAGTCTGAGAGCAAACAAAAAAGATGCTTAGCTTACTTACAAACCACAGTTTGTAACTTCTGAACCCACTGCTCATGCTCTTCTAAGTAATCCAACATTTAAAGGGCTTATGTTCTCCTGGGTTAAGTTAGATTCTGGAAGCAGTAAGGAAAACCTTACTTTTAGAAGAGTTACGAACCACAAGACCAGATGCAGGACAAAGCTCATAGTACTGCAATCACAACCAGGGGCAAAATGGAGTAAGTGTGATAAGTACAGAAATGGGCTTTCCTGCTAGGCCTCCACTACTGTGAATTTCCTACATGGAACTGGACTATCAACCTTAAACTTAATTCTCTCCCTTCCTAATCTATTAGGAGACAGGGGCTGGAGAAGTGCCTCAGCCAGTAAAGGCACATGACACAAGCCTAATGACCTGAGTTCAATTCCTGTGACAAATATGGTAGGACAGAACTGATTTCCACAGGTTGTCCTCTGACCTCTACCCACACTCCCAAGCATGCATGCACATGCACACAAATACAAATAAATAAATAAATAAATAAATTTAAAATTAGGAGGCATAGCCAGGTGGTGGTGGCATACACTTTTATTCCTAGCACTAGGAAGGCAGAGGCAGGGGAACCTCTGTGGGTTTAAGGCCAGCCTGGTCTACAGAATGAGTTCTAGAACTACAGAGTTACTTGTTTCAGGGTGAAAAACAATTAGGAGGCAAAAGACTTAAATTCTAATTCCAGTTCTTACCCTAATTCCAAGACCGTGGGTAAATTACTTAATATCAGTGGACTTTAACTTCCTAAATACAACATGGAAGGTTTGGAATAAATGCTTTCTCTTACAGCTTCAAATTCTGTGACTGTTCTAATTTTTAAAAAGGTAACTAGGATTTTTTTTTTTCTTCCTTGTTAGTACAAAACAACAAATATTGTGCTAATGTTAAGATATCTTAAATTCTTTCCTTGCCTTAGGAAAGTTCTCACTTGACAGATCTCATTTTTAGGCCCAATCACAGGCCCCTTTGCACAGAAGTCTACTTATAGCATAGTTCCGGTCTCATGTGTTACTAAACATCTTCCTAAAATAACCACGCTTTATTTAAAAAGTTACTTCTGAACAAACTGACAAAACGTTTATAATACAATGTCTTAGACTGTCAAATTTTAATAGCAGAAAACTAGTCTTAAGAAAATCTACTTCCAAAAGCAATCAGGGACTGGGGATGAACCCCAGTGGTTGAGCACTTGCCCCCGATTCCTGAGGCAGTGGGTTTACACTCCAGCACCAGGGGCCAAAGGAAGCAATCAGCCAAACAGCTCACAAAAGCAATCCAAACACTGCTTCCTCACCACACTGTTATCGTGGGATGAGATGAGGAATGCTGAGAAATGTGTTAAGATACCCATTTCCCAGAAGGCTGGGTGGTTTTCGCAGGCGTTTAGTTATTCATGTTTGTTTTCTGGTCGTAGGGCTTGGACCCGGCAACTTGTTCATGCTAATCAAGTACTCCCCCACTCAACTGGGCTCCAACTCCACTTCCCTAGGGAAAAGGAGGTAATCAGGATATTTGAAAGTTTTGGACTTGAACGTTTTCCCCCTCCTGCGGTGCTGCAGATTAAACCCAGGACCTTGGACATGCAAGGCAAGCCTCCATAATTTTCTAGCGTTACATAGATATTTTATTAAGACAATAAGGGAAAAGCAGGAAATAGTGACACATGCCTATAATCTCAGCACCTCAGGGGCTGATGAGTTCAACATCTATGTCAATTATATAGGGAGAGCTTGTCTCAAAAAACAATTCTGGAAATAGTAACAGCTGCAACTGAACAAGCAGGTCTATTATTTACATTTTAAAAGGGAGAGAATGGAACCTCAACAGGGCTACCAAGCACTCTCAGGAAGCAACAGAGCCCACATCTGAACCGAGTCTGCGCGGAGTGACAAGTGAGACATACCCTGCTGTCTTGGTATCTGCTGTGTGGATTCCACCTCTGATCTTCTCTGGGGTGAAGGTTATCTCTGTCGAGCCGATTTCCGCCCCTTCCAGGTGCCCATCACACAAATCTCGAACCATTTCCAGTCCAGACAAATGCTGAGGCCTTCAGGTCATAATACTGCATCAAAACGTGTGCGATCAGACTGCCTCTACCCCCTAAATCACAGTTACAAAAGCAATGGCCAGAAAGCATGCGTGATGTCTTCAATGGCAGACCTTCACTTGAAGGTTTGTTTTGTTTTGTTTTTTTTTTAAGTGGGCTTGCGTTCACTGCTTAGAGACTTCTTAAAGGTTTCAAGACTGTTTATTTAGGCTACAAAAAAAAAAAAATACACTGGTGAACTGTTACAAATTAAATGTGTAAAAAAAAAAAAAAAAAGGTAAACTAGAGGCTGGAGAGAAGGCTAAGTGGGAAAGAGCACTGGCTGCTCTTCCAGAGGACTAGGGTTCAGTCTCCAGCACCCACACAACAGCTCATTAACTGTCTCTCATTCCTGTTCCAGGGGTTTGGACACCCTTATACAGGCAAACGCGCAGGCAAAACACCAATGCACATAAAATAAAAATAAATTTTAAAGGTAAACTAAAACTACCTAAAAGCCAACAGTCTTGCTTGAATCTCACTGAATAACCAATCCATGATAACCTGATGGCCTGAATTATGCCTCATGCCCTACATGTGTGTTGAGGCCTAAACACACATAAAATGTGACCATTTAAATAGGCCTCAAAAGATACAATTAACTTAAACTGAAGGTGTGCGCTAATACATTTTGACTTCTATTCTTATGAAAAGATTGACTGATTAGGAGGACAAGCATTTGAGAGGTGGAGGCACAAAAATCAAAGTTCAAGGTTATTCTCCCGAAGTGAGTTGGGGATTACCCTGAACTGGGGTGTGCGTGCGGCGGGG